TATTTTGTTACTATCTTAAATTTGTGTCATCTACAGCTTTCCCACTTCATATTCCATCTTTGATGCTTAATTTGTCACATGTTACTATTATTCTTAGAAACTCATTCAAGATCATCACCAGGTTCTTTTTGCATCAATGTTAGAACTTCTTAAACTGTACTACAATGGGTACCGGGTGTCCAAAGCACCACTCTACCAGGAGGTCAGCAATCCTAACATTCTATTTTTCATATCATCCTTTACAAGCGGATCCACTGAAGTGATTGCTGCATATTCTAGTTTTTTTTTTTTTTTTTGTGTGTGTGTGTGTGTGTGTGTGTTGGCAAGATCCACTCTTTGGCATGTGTGCAACCATTCTTCAACCAAATGTCTCTGTATAGAAATTGATGAAATATCATATTTGCTTTTTTTGTATTACGATGTTATGTATTACTGCAGGTCACAATGGCACAGGATACCATTATTTTCAATATTTTTATTAGAAACACTTTCTAGATACAAATGCAATTAAAATATCCCTAGTTAAAATTTTCACGTAAAAGGAACCTCCTCTGAATCTAAGAACTAAATGGTCTAAGCTTTCAAACTGTGGAGCTCTGGTCAGTAGGTGTGGTGACAAACCCAATGACATCACATAATGTCTGATATAGTTCCCTTTATCACATTTCTGCACATAGAAATTAAGTACTTTTAAGGACCATTAATGAAAAAATTAAGGATCTATCAACAAATGGGAACTGAACAAATTCAATTAAAAATATTAGCTATGCCTGAACCTCACTTTTGTTATTAGCTATGCCTGAACTCATAAATTACGAATTCATATTTTAACTGTATAATTTCTGCATGCCCTTTTACCAGATTGAAATTGATGATCTAATATCTGGAAAAATCCCAAATCCAGAATCGCCGAAGTCCTGACGAGTCCGGATTTCGGACTTTGTACTGTATTTTACACTTATAATAATTGGACATATTTGAAAGAGGATAAGGGACATTTTTACGTTTTACTAACAGAGTTGATTGTTAAGTTGATTGTTTTCTTTAATGTCTCCACTTACTTGCCCAGTTTAGAGGTTTAGTAAATACTAGGTAGACTTTATGCCAAATGGCATAGGTTAAAATAAGAAGTTAAAATCATAATCAGCATGATTCATACTGCTGCTTCCCTAGAAAGAGACTTGCTGATCAGAACAATCCTGATAGCCTGATGTAGACATGGTTGGCAAGTTTTGAAAGTTGGCTGTACTCTGCCTGTCTGACACAGTTAGTGTTCCCAGTTAACATATTTTAAGGTTCCAATAAGCCACTAAAGCACCAGAGGTGATAAGCTGTTTTGCATTATTTTAAGTCTCACTAGATGCAAAGAATAAGTTTTACATGAATTTTAAAATTATTTTGCTGTCTCGTGTGACCACGGCAAGGATTAACGAAAGGCAACAACTCATTTTAATATGCGGAGATAACTTTTTAAGGGTGACCAGTCAGTTAATAATTTAATTAGCTAGTTAGGTACCCTTAGATTTACATGACCACTATTAAATTTTTTAAAAATATTTATTAAAAAAAGCACTATTAAAATCACGATCTATTAACATGTCATAGTTTAAAATACATGTAATTTATAACATTGCTTCTTAAACGATATTAAGATAATTACACATTAAAAGCTACAAAACACGTTTTGTAGCAACAATCAACAAAATATTTATGCAACTTTTAAATTCGTCGCAGGAATTTCAAACATTGCCAGTAATGATGCAAAGACAAATAAGTATAAATCATCAGAGCTGATGAAGCATGCAAATGGAGGATATAAACAAATTCTGTCTTATAACTCCAAAACCTTAGTTTAAAAAAGTGACTTGCATTCTGGTAACGAAACGGAAATTATAGTAAAGGCCAAAATTATAAATAACTGCTTAATTTACACAATAATAACTCTACATATTTTTGGAGATTAATTTTCTTTCTCTTTATGTATTCGGTTTCTTTCTTCAATACATTTCCTCTTCATTTTAGAAATTTGTTATTCTAAAAAAATTAAACGCATTTAGAATGTATAGGGAAAAGTGCTAATTTTATTCCTTTAGTAATATGAATATTCAGAATAAATATGAAATTATATATGAAAAGGACCGGTGAGGCAGAATGTTTAGAATTTAGTGACATACTGAGCAGCAAAACCTAGGAATGGGAAAACTTTTAGAATTAAGTATCCACAGACATTGCATCAGGTGGGGAAAATGCCTAATGCCAACCTTGTATATGACGCATTGAGCCATATAAGATAAAACTTTTAAATTGTCAGTTTTAAATCTCTTTATTAAAAGAAAATTTCTCTTCTATAAATGCCTGTTCATGTGATAAGTTTAGAAGCATTTCTGATATTTTTTATGTTTGTGTCTAATGAGAAGTAAAGACAATAAAGGGAAGATAAACATGCTAAGAACAAAAATAAAACATCCAAATATTATGTTTTCAGTTGTTCTATAAAAACCTTATTTGTTCTAACCAATTATTTTTATTTTAAGAAACTTTCCTTTCTCTCCTGATTTCATTTTCATGCCAAAATGCAAATTTAAATGATGTATATGCAAATCTAAATTAGTTCAAAAAAATATTCAAGTAGCAGATTTTTAGAGTTTACAGTAGGAGAGTTATTTCTAAATTTATGCCGCATGTTTGAAAGTAGCTCTGTAGCTGCATATTTGGTGCTAGCCACTTACTTTAGATTACATATTAATATTCTAGGCTTGGCTTTGCTGTGTGCAGCCGATTAAGTAGTTTAGGTTGAATAGGAGCCAGTCGTGTAACTAAAATTTAAGTCATTGTGACTGTACACACTATTTTGTGAGCACAGAGTGAGTGCATGTTCTGTTCTGTTTAGTTAAAATGAAAAGGATGTTATAACCTTTGTCTACAGTCATCTGTTCTTTCAAGTCAGAGCAAGAATTCACCACTTCATCTTTCACTAGGGTCTACAATTTATGTTCCCAAAAGGAACAAGAAGACTCCACAAGTTCTTCCAAAAATTCTCCAAAAAATAAGAAATTCACCAAAAACTTTCTATAAAATACACCCTTTACGAGTTAATACCATGAAGATATTTTTCTGGTATCTTCTAGATTCGTGGGTCTATAAATCTTGCCATCAAATCCTTCTAAACTTTCCAAGTTGCAATGTCTAAAACCCTAAAGAAAAATTACCTTTACCAATTATGCAAATGCATATTCTCAGGCAATTTCATGGGAAAAACTCCTACCATGAAAAAATTAAAACGAAGACATTTTTAATTAATTACAAAGCTATTTCGCTTTTGCTAAATTGTTTCATAAATTATGCTGAAACACAATTTAAGTATTTATTATCTTGCTTATGTTTCAGATTCAAAATATTGTATAATTTAGTTGCCAAAATGAAAAGTAATGTCAGTTTATAATATGATAGCGAAAAATTAAAATTTTCATTTTAATTGTTCTTTCTTGAATATAATTTCAATATATTAGCATTATTTTAATAAAATTTATAATGTTTTAAAAAATATTGAAAAATCGATTTTTTCTGAATTAAAAATTTTCTATAAAAACTGATCTTAAAATTACCAAATTTAGAGCCATTTATTAAAATTCACATTCCCAAAAGCGAAAAGTTGTTTAAGAGCTCTTCGGAGTAGAAAAAATAAAATAATTTCAAAATGCTTATATTTCACTTCTTGCTCAGAAACTGAAGTATACTACCTTTTATATTAGAATTAGGAACAAATTATATCCATGAAAAAAAAAAAAAAAAAAAAACAAAAAAAAAAAAAAAAACAAAAAAAAAAAAAAAAAAAAAAAAAAAAAAAAAAAAAAAAAAAAAAAAAAAAAAAAAAAAAAAAAAAAAAACAAAAAAAAAAAAAAAAAAAAAAAAAAAAAAAAAAAAAAAAAAAAAAAAAAAAAAAAAAAAAAAAGAAATTCAAAAAAAAAAAAAAAAAAAAAAAAAAAAAAAAAAAAAAAAAAAAAAAAAAAAAAACCCAAAAAAAAAAAAAAAAAAAAAAAAAAAAAAAAAAAAAAAAAAAAAAAAAAAAAAAAAAAAAAAAAAACAAAAAAAAAAAAAAAAAAAAAAAAAAAAAAAAAAAAAAAAAAAAAAAAAAAAAAAAAAAAAAAAAAAAAATTAATTCAACGAATGGCCAAAAATATTTCTTGAAAATGCTAATTCACATTCAAAATGGCAGTCTTAAAAACAGACAGAAATTTCAGATGATTAAAATTAAGGACCTCCTGCCAATTTTGGCCGAAATTAAGGACTTTAAGGGACCAAAAATTGATTCCAAAAAACCTAAGGACTTTTAAGGACTGTACGAACCCTGTTTGCTAGAGTGTTCATGTTGGTACTTTTGTCCCTCCAAAATGATGACCCAGTCCTTTTCTTTCTTTAGCTATGCCTTAAATGCAGTCAGTCTACTTTCAAAACCTTCACCTTCCCAAAAAAACTTTAAATACAAAATTGTAATAAATATTTTACACATAAAAACAGATATTTTACCATACTTACTATACATGCTGCATATAATAAACAGCATTTAAAATGCACAGTTATCTAAATCCATGTTTAATCTTTAATTTTAAAAAAATGTTTCTGAAATTAAAGAATTCTAAACACTGTGTGTAAAATTCTTTATAGAAATCAATTTTCTGATAAGAGTAACTGACATCTAGGAAATTCTAAATAAAGTATGTTTAATTAGCAAATATAATCTATCTGACTTTACAATTTTACTTCTTATAAAGTTTTTACATTTAACTGATCTGAATATTAGCTGCTCCTATACAAAATCATTTAAATATTTATGAAAATATTTTAGTGAAACTAACATTTTTAACAACAGCTACTGGAAATCCAAGAATCTTGTGTATTTAATGCTGCAGCTATAAATATTTACAAGAGAGTTCTATAAATAACAAACATTTATTATTTGAATATTAAAAATGTAATTAGACAATGCAATAAAACAAGACTGTCACCAAATGTGCTTTTTTAATAAGAATTTCTGACGACATACAGAGCAAAGCCGAAGTGTATTTAGGGAAATACCCCAAGGTGCCACAAAACAATCACAGAGTAATTTGACAGTAATCATATCACATTAAACTGGTAGCTTTGGGAATTTTTTTACAATTAATAACAATTAATATATATAATATATAGTTAGCAATCAATAATCAATTGACAAGAAATACATCCTTTGGGTGAAAATTAACATTCAGCTTTTACTTTTTGAGCGAGCAGGCATATATTTCTACCAAAACTATAACAGTGATAGTAGATTTTGCTATCTTTATTTTTTCCTATTCACTGGTCTTAAATATTAAAACTGATGGACTACAAATCACAATATGAAAAAATGAATGTAGTTATAGCTTTCAGATATTCCAGGGGAAACAGCAGTCACAATTTTGCTTTTTTTTTCCCTTTAAAGATCACCACTTACGAAAAGCAGTTGGTGACATTTATCACCCAAAAAATAAAAAAAAGACAGAAGCCTATGCTCTTTCAAGCCCTGCCACAGATTATATAAATGGGGGAAACAGCATCAGCGAGGCAAAGTGATACTGTGCGAGAGGCAAGGGATTTTATTCTTGCTCATCCCCCAAGTCATGCTTCACCTTGGAAAAGTCAAAATCTTCCCCAGTTCCACGTCGAAAGATGTCCAACACATCTAGGCAGGTTGTTTCAAAATGTGACGTCGCATCATATGATTCAGATATAAATATCTGGGGGAAAAAATATATATATAATGTAAAGAAAAATTATAAAATTACACACACACACACAAAAAAAAAAAAAAAAAAATGCTCATTATAGTAAGTTTACTTACTTGACTTTCTTCACCATAATCTTTGGGTTTAAATACATCACTAACCCATACAAACCTAAAAGTAATAAGAAATGAAAAATTGACATATATGTAATCCAAAAAGAATTTGTTACTGAGAGTGAAATATCTTACTTACGTAACAAATCTTTACGTAACAAATTTTTTATATAAAAAAGATTCTTCTTTTATTATTATTTCTACTTATTTACTCATAATTCTAAAATCAAAACTTTCATTATATATATATTTTTTATTTTTTATTTTAACATTCCAGGGTTTTAAGAGGAAAAATCTGCATGTAACTTCTGAAATCATGTTTTGCACTTGAAGCTGTAAATACTTACAGCGTCTCACAAAAGTGATGGGACACTTGTGCTTTACAAAAGGAAACTGTAGTAAAATAAATTTAAAAAATTATTTATTTTTATAATATTAATTTAATAAAAATACAGTTGTTTAGAACGGAGCAAAAAATGGCTCACATAAGTGATGGGACACTTACTTTTTCAACAAATATTTATCAAAAAATTTTACTTTTTAAAAGGTTTTAATATTTTGTTGGATATCCTTTTACTTTTAAAACATGATTTAATCTTCTTGGGATAGATTCGACTAATTTTCTTGCGATTTCTGGAGTGATTTTACCCCATTCTTCTTGAAGCACCGATTTTAATTGTTGTTTTGAAGAAATGGTGTGTTGCGAATTCTTGATTCCAATTCTTGCCAAATATTCTCTATGGGATTTAAGTCTGGAGATTGTGATGGTGTTTTTATTATTTCAGGAGAGTTATACAGCAGCCAGAGTCTAATGTTCAAAGCAGTGTGCGTGGGGTCATTATACTGGTAGAATTTAAAATCGTTATGAAGGTTCAATTTTCGTGCTGAAGATTTCAAATTTTGATTTAAAATGTCAATATACTTGTACCGATCCATTACATTGTCAATAAAAACAAGATTACCAACTCCAGCAGACGACATACACCACCATACCATAACTCCTTCTCCACCATGTTTTACTGTTGGTACCAAGTTCTGTTTACGAAATTCTTCCCTGGATTTTATCCACACCAAGATTCTACTGTCAGAACCATATATATTAAATTTACTCTCATCAGCAAATATAACTTCATTCCAGTAATCAGAATTCTTATTTATGTTGGATTTTGCGAAAGCCAGTCTGAGTTTTCTATTATTTTCACTTAGAATTTTTTTCCGGCTGCTCTACCATGATATCCAGCAGATCGAATTACTCTTCTAATAGTCTCAGGATTAAAAATTTCTCCATATAATGCTTGTAAATCAGCAGCAACTTTAGGAGCATTCATTCTTGGATTTTTTTTAATATTTCGAATGATAATTCGCTTTATTCCATTGGATAGCTTTGATGGTCGGCCAGGTCTTCTTTTATCCTGAATCATATGATTCATTTTATATCGTTTAATGATATTGAAAACTGTTGAATGACTCAAGTTAACTGTTTCAGCAGTTTTCTTATATATTTTCCACGTTCAATATGCAAATTAATAACTAATTTTCGAACTTCAGGCAAAGTTTCTTTTCGTTTAGCATTCACGGCTGCACAGAGCTAAAAAACACAAAAATTCCAAAACAAACTGAAGAGAAATATTGCAGACTATTTTATAAATTACTGCCAATTGCTTTTGAGTAAAAATAAAAAACCCCCAAAAAATATTTTTATTGCAGTACGTAGTAGTATCTAATGGTGTCCCATCACTTATGTGAGCCATTTTTTGCTCCGTTTTAAAAATTGTATTTTTATTAAATTAATATTTTAATATTTTGAGAAAATGTATGTTATGTAATAATTGTTACTAAATTTAAGAATGAAACACACCCACAAATATGTTTTTTTTAATTAATTTTATTACAGTTTCCTTTTGTAAAGCACAAGTGTCCCATCACTTTTGTGAGACACTGTATGTTGCAACTGATCTTAAATCTTAATACAAAAATCATCAGAATGAAAAAAAGGCGCACATAAAATGTTTTGCTACATTTTTTAAAGAAAAGTGTCAATTATTAAAAAGTAATAAATCCATTAAAAGTGCAAGAAAAATTAAGAAGTGTGTTTTCTCCTTATAATACATAATAAGGTTTTTTTTTTAACTTACTTCTGCTTGATTGGTCCCAAGAGATCCAAACCAGGTTTAATTTCCTGTTCTGGATTATCAGTTTCAACAGTAGTACTGACCATAGCAACAAACCAATTCTTAGCTGCAACTTGATGAGTGTATGAGACAAGAGACACATATATATCTAAAAATGGCAATTTAATAATTACATTTATTACTAATTTAACAACATTTTATAAAATTAAATACAATTATTAATTTTATAAAAATTTTGTTTTATATTTACAAAGGACCAAAAAAAACATTTTTGATAACATGTATATAAATGACAAAAATATCTAAAACAATTCAGAATTTTATGAACGAATACACTTGATCTTGAAATAATAAAAAAAGAGGTAAAAAAACCTTTTTTGAACAAAAGGAAGGCCTTTTCTCTAACATACGAAAATATTCACCATTTATTTTTAAACTGCCCTTTTTCTACAATCCAGGAATAAAAAATATAACTTATTTTACAATACCTATTTGTTCACAATAAATTGAAATAGGTCCAATGAATAGGTTGATAAAATTTATTTTATCAAGAGAAATACTTAAAAGTTCTTGAGCTTTCCACAAAAATAGATGTACAACTGTTCACAATATCACAGAGCACAGTCAGTAGTTACAATTCAAACTACTGAGAACGTTAAACATAATGCAATGCAAAGTGCATCTAAAGAACCAAGTTAAACCAGAGATATCTCAATACTCTAAAGTCACACTGAACTATTAACCGACAGCAAATGCCTTCTCTCTGGTCTTGCATAGTTTTTGACCGGCCATTTCTGTACTTCCTGCTTGTCAAAATTATTGGAAGGCATATGAGAGCTGAATTATGGTTACAACTATATAGAGCATCAATTATAGTTACTCAATTACAATATCCATTTAGGAACAGGACCAAAATGCTGCCAAGTTTGATGACTTTTGACAGTTTCTTGTCAATTGAGCAAGACAGCTATTTACTCTATATTTAATAGATATGCCCCTGTATTCTTACTTTTCCAGCAAAGTTCACCTCTCTGGATTTTCATGTTAGATTGATTATACAGAGAAATACAACAATTTCGCACATAACTGCACTAAAATTTTTTAAACTAATTTGATTGAATATTTACATTACAGTTGTGGGCAATAATAAACAGCATGTATGTGTACATACAGAAATATCCATTTTTGTGAACAAATTTGCATATATTCTATCAATGCTACAAAATCGTCTCAGCAGCAAATCATGAAGTAACAGTTAATCTGAATTCTGCACCACTGCCATGAAAATAGTCCCTATCAAATAAGTTTTTTTAAAATGAAACTTCTGAAAAGTTTTTATTTTTTAATTACATATCTTACTTTTAAAAACGAATTCATATATAAAAGTATAAATATATATTTTGTATAGAACTTATCATTTTTACCAAGAAAATTCTACTACACTTTGGATTGTATGTTTAACAAAATATTTAGTTCACATCTTTCCTGTCTACAGTTCACTCAGTCCAGAATTAATGTAGATTTAAACATGAAATTTTCTATAAGGTTGAGAAAGTTGCATATACCTGATACAAAGAATTTTGGCCTGACATTGCTTTGTCATGCAAAGTTTCGCTCTCTATGTTGGCAGCTTCAATGCTGGTCTTGAACTGAATATTATAAAGCACAGGTTGGCAATGATATGCTTAGAAGCATTATGGTGTCTGCAAAGCAATTCTAAAGTGCCCTTCTATTTAAATATCAAAATTATAAATATTTAGAATTCCCATAGGTATATATTGGGCACCACTGGGCCTTGCAAACTGTTAAGGGCCATTCCTACTGGGTTTTATTTGAGCAAATGGAGATAGCTGATGTAGCTGACCCATCTCCAAAAACTCAGTTTTTTCCTACAGGGCAGCAAGTTGAAAAATCTGAACCTCAGGCATAGCAGAGCTAATTGACACATGGATCTCACTCCATTAGCTCAGAAAATCTCCAGTGGGAATGGCCCTTTAAGGTTCTGCCCCAATTTTGCAGAACATCCTAGAAGCAGTCAGAGTCTTCCACTACTTTCCCTACAATTAAACTCTCAAGACTTTCAGCTTGCCGTGTATTTTGAGTGCCTCCTTGCTGCATGGAAATCATAAGCAGACAAATTTCTAACCATTTCAAATATGTAGCGAGTCCCCAAGAAAGAACTGTAGATTGAAATGCACTACCAGGTACTTTTCCTACTACATTAAGTCAATTATGGATTTAATGCAGCCACCTTCCATCTAAGCTTTCCCAACTTCTTCGTCACTCCATGGGTTTGAATTAGACAATTTTGAATTTGTAACTTCATGTATGACCAGATAAGTCATCTCACATTTCAGTTCAACCTGTAACAATATCGGCAGCAAATCAGGTTTCTGCATTCATCTGGCTATCTAGCCTTCAATATTCTTGAAATTTTTAACAGCTAGGTCAATGATGCATGATCTGTGCGAGACAAGAATTTTCGGGCATAGAGGTAATGGCGAAAATGTTCTACAGCTTTGACTGACGAGTAACTCTTTTCTGGTGACACAGCAATTCCTCTGTGGCTTAGCTAGACACTTATTCCAATATGGCACCATGCATATTTGACTCTGCACCATGCATATTTCTTGGGACAAAACCACAGTGACATTCACTGTTTGCATCCATGTCAAGAATAAACGGTTTATCGAGCAGAGGTTATATCAGGATTGTCGAAATGATAAAGCTAGCTGCAGCTCATTAAATACACCCCCAAATTCTTTTGCCTAGAACTTCTGCTTGCTCTTTGTCAGTTCATGAAGGGGGTCTTGCAATGGAAAAAAAAGTCCTTCGCTAATCTCCTATAGTAGATGCAAAGCCCCAGGAAACTTCTCAGCTGATGGACATTTTCATGCCTTCTAATCTTTAACTGCTGACACTTTTTCTGGATCCAGTCATACCTTCAACAGAGATAACATGTCTGAGGTAAGAAATTTCCTGAAATTCTTTAGTTCATCAATCTATAAAATCAAAACATTTCTTATATATGCTCTTGTATAGCAATTAGTATAATGGTTCATCACACTGACTCTGGGCAACAGCACGGTGAAATTTTCAAAACTTCCTTCTTCTTAAATTTTTAACTTTACAATGTTTGGCTGAATTCTGTTGAAACACAATATATTACAAAGCATGTGACTATCTGATCTCATCTCCAATCATCTCTAGGTTGGAGAACAAAGGTAAGGAAATAATTTACTCATGTTCTTGTCTTGCACTGACTAATGGTAAACATTAGAAAGACTGAAACTTAGTATATCCCTACATTACCTCCAAAGCAGTCAAAATGACTGCACTGTGAAAGAGTTACTACTGTGTAAGGAAATTTGTTTAAAATTAATTTTTAATATTATTTACAACTATATAACAAGTTATTAGTAAATATTAATAAAAACTTACTTCACTTAAAAAAAATAATTTATACATTATTATTTGTACTTTTTTTGCAAATGAAAGTGGAAATCTTTTTATGTGTACATCTTCCGCAAACATACTTTTGACATTTTTCACATTATATTATTATATATACTATATTATTTGTTTTGTTGTTGTGGCAAAGTCGTACTTTACAAATTTTGCGTTTGTTAGAATGGATTACATATGATGATGTTGCAGTTATCTTTGTGCGTCTTCATGTTCTGATGACTTTTTCGGTCTTGCTTTCTTTGTAAAGGATCCAGGTATTTATAACAGCCAAACCTAAAATATTGAAAAATATTTGGAGGTGCTTTCTACAAGAACTAGCTTTTACTGTATTATTTTCTGGCCATTTGATCCGTCATACCAACTCCAAATTTTGTGCTGCTATAAAATTGAATAGATTCCGGTAGCATTTTTTATTAACTTTTATCAATTTTCACAAATTTATGCTTAGAACTTAAAACAGCTATTCTTATTTGGTTTTTCTTTTATATATTGTAAGAACACAATTCTCTGATTTATATAGCAGAGTGGAAAAGAGTCATGTTATCCTTTGTTTTTTGGCTGATTTGTGTAGTTCTCTTTTGTTTCTTCTAATAGTACCAACTAGAGCTTCTTTGGCCAAAAATTTTGTCGCTAGTGACATGCTAGTGGAAAAGTTATCAGTCGTGATATTTCTTCCACAGCTTGTATATGGCTTGACTCAACCAGTTTCAGAAGAACCTGTTCACCGAGATTCAAATAACAAATATTACTTTAGCTTACTGAGAAACTTCAACTTATCAAGTATACGCCCAAATCGACAATTTATCATGTATTTGTATGTTATGTGATGGTAATCATCGAAAAAAATGAAAACTTATTTCAATACAGAGCCGAATTGGTCATACAAGAAATTTACTCAATTCAATAATAAGAGTCATTTGATTATTTAAAATTTCCCAAGCAGTCATTTTGACTGGCACTATAGGTATAACACACACATATATATACTGGAAATGAAAGAAGGGAGGAAACTAACATTAACTACAATTATTAATAAACGCAAAGTCACTAAATTCTAAGAAATTATGTCATTATATACACAAATGTTTTTCTAATTGAAATTAAAAAGCAGTCAAAATGACTTCCTTGGGCAATCTAGTGTTAACTTTTGGACAAATTCCTATAGAAGATTCTTTTTTTTACACTTTTACATCAAGGATGATTTCTGCACATTATTATTGGAAAAAAGTCAAGAACCTTAAAAGGGAAGACTTTTTTACCTCCATTGCATTTGTACAATAAACAGAAAAGGCTGCAAAAGCCCCTCCCACATCCAGACTATCCAACTGCTAGGAACTGAATCTGCCACTGACTACCAGCATCTGGTGACTTATTCTCTAGGTCACTGTTTAACATCAAATAACAATAAGTTTTACATGATATGCTATCTCCCTTATCTTTTTTCATTTCTTTTTCTCTTCATCTTCAAACAAAAATTTCACTTGCATTTTGCAACCTTGTAGTTAACACTGAATACAAGTTTTCCAACAGTCTTAAATTCTTTTGCTTATACGTATGAGAAAGAATATTTTAAATTGACAATGAAATGTTTCAGATGTCTTTTTTTAATTACACAGATAAGCTGTATTTAACTGAACTAGAGAGGCATTGTTGATGATAATGCTCAAGTGCAAAATCAAAACATAAATAATGCAACCACTTAGATGATTTAAACTTCCGGCTGTATTATACTTCTGACCTGCATATTTTAATCCTCTCATGCATGCATTACAATAATGCAAATAAATTTGTAGAGCTGATTTCAGCTTTCCTCATTTCTTTTTTTAATCCAGATGATGCAGCTTAACCTTTTGAAGACGGGATGGCCATTATAGTGGCCATAGAGTCCTCTCTTTGAAAAGACGGGGTTGTCCACTTTAGTGGCCGTCTTTTTCCCCTATTTTCCAGGCTGAAAAGTGGGGTGAAATGTCAAATTTGACGTACCTAGGGTTTTAACCCCTTATCTCTTTCAAAGGTCTTTCTTTTGCGACATAGATGCACCCCTCTGAGAATCCATTAAACTACACACAAGAATCTTTGTTGCAAATAGGAGGTGATTTCTTAAAGGGGGGGGGAAAGCATCCGGTTCAAGATTCCCCGTCCTTTGGTAGCTTTTACTGCTTCTAAAACCCCGGCATCAAAAGGTTAAATGACATACTGCTGATACTACATCTATTCATTATATACGGAATAAATTTCTAAATATACTATTCGATACGATAGAAAATACGATTCTCATTTGATAAGTTTGGAACTTTCAATTTCATTTACAAGTTTTGTTTGCTTAAAAACTTTTCTTATTTTTTATTTATTTTTTCCTACTGTTACATAGACAATAATTCTATTATCTTACCTGATTTTCTGCCAACTTGTTTCTGTGGAATGATTATCTGGCACGAAAGTGCATCCTTCGTATTTGGAATGGGATGATTCAAGAGGCAAATGCAACGAACTACCTAACAAAATCAAATAAAATAAAATCTTCACATTTTATCATGAGACAAAAGCTCAGAAAATTTAAATTGCCAAACTTCAACCAGTTTACTAACTGTAAACATGATACGTATATATACTGCATACCTGCCCAACTTTTTCAACTTTATCAGGAACATAAGATGGGTCACAAAAAACTTGTTTACATCTTGCAGTTTCATTTCCAGAGCGGACTCCAACTACCTTGCCATTTTCCATTACCAATTCATCTATTGGTTTATCCAGCATGTATGTCCCACCATAAATTGCACTTAGCCTGTAAGATGTCCATTATTAAATCATAAATTTAAAAAAAAAAAAGACAAAGAAATAGAACTACTGTAAATAACTAAAAATACCATGAACACATCTTGAAAAAATCTGATGTATACACAACATGACTTCCTTGTACATAATATTAAATTATACACATTTTTTCTTGCATTTCATTTAAACTTATTGGACTGATTAAACCTACTTGGCCGACAGCGCATAAACCACAATAGAATAAATGCATTCTTTAAAATTCACTCTATTTGTTTACCATAATGACACTCTGGCGCTAGGTTCACTTAACAGTATTATATTTCGTTCATATTATAACTCAGAATGCACAAAATTTATATCATTTAAACAATTATCTAATCGTTGCCACATGTTCTATTCAAATACTATAATAAAGCTAGAACGATGTATAAAAGAAATTAAGCATACAAAATAAAAAAGAAACGGTTTTTCAAGAAACAGTTTTTCACAGACGATTTAGCATTTCTCATTCAATTAATTCAGTTCTCACTTCGGGATAGGGCAAAAATACATAAAAACCCAAAATATCTGTATTAAAAATTACGAAGTCAATCTTAAACACTTATTTCCTCGGAAAAATTCCAGAAAGGATTAAGTATGATTTAAATAATAAATGAAGGCATCATCTTTGTTGTTGCGAAGCTAAGTTTCTCTAGATTAGCAACAAATCCGCTATCCTGCTGTTTCAAATGTAAACAAGAGCAATGGCCGCCATCAAAAACATTATTAAGCTTAGCGGCATTTAAACAATTTTAAAATTGTTGATAATTCTAAAAATATTGCATGCAGATTTACTACAGGCATAAAAACCTTAACCGGAAGATAAGAACAACATAATTCAATCATTTTTAAAGCAAAAAATGTACAATTTACAAACATATAAGAGTAAAGAAACTGAGATCACTGAGCCGAGTAACAGAGTGGATATATATATATACGCAAATACATCGTTAAATTGCATTCGAAAGCAGTCAAAATTGATATTTTTGTTGAAATATGCTGCATGAAACTTTTCGCGATTACAATACTTCCTTTTTACTTCGTACAAGGAAGTAAAAAATACTCAATTTTCAGACTGTCAACTGGGAAAAATACTTTCACAATACTATAAAACTGCTGCAAAAATTTCTGCAAATAATCATAAGCAATCATTTCCCAAGTCATGACTATTTTGTTTTTCAGCTGATTTAAATGGTCTTTCATAATTCCACAAGGAATTCACAATCTAAATCAAATTACCACAGTTGAAAATTCAGTTTTATTAGAAAAAAATTGAATAATTACCGTTTACAACCTCATTTACAGGTTTTAAATATTTCAAAGCTGATTTCTAATACATGTGCAAAATTACTTCAATTAACTTAATTGCTATGTTTAGTATTTTTAGATACTTGAGTATCAAATTATATTCTATAAATTAACTTCCAACATTTTACTCCGAGATGCATCAAATTATAGCAAATTAAAAGGCACATCATTTGTTTGTTTGTATTCAAAAAACATGCATGAAAAAAATTTTTTAATTCTAGAACATTTAAAATTTCATAAACCTGAAATTGGAAACCTTTCTGCACACATGGCTATATTTTAAATTAACTTTTAATGGAACTATAAAAGATATTTACAAAAAACTTATACAATATCTAAGGTACAAGATCTTCTTGACCAATAACACATTTTCACCTCTCTGGCAGATTGGGATATGCAAGGTTAACATTATAACCCATATACCAGGAGTGGCCATAGTACGGCTCTTGTAGTTGAGTGATGCAACTCTTTTTCAAATAAAATGTATGTATGAAATGAATTAAAACTAATCAATGACACTTATTTCACTGCTTTTAAAATAATGTATATAGAGACTTGCTGCAGTCAAACTTTTCTGAATTCCAAAATGCAGCTCGCCTTGCATATACTATGAAGTTTAGTCTTCATCTCAGCAAAATACTCAAGATTTAAAGGTGAAAAACTGGACAGTAGTTAAGAGTTATTAATGAAAACTTTTGTTTGGTCAAATACTTTCAGCCTTACCAATTCCGAAAATTCCCCTCCTGGAATAAATAAAATAAATAATAATCTTTCATCCAGTTCTCTACGATAAATAACATTAAGAGCAATTATCCAATCGATGGACAATTTTGTTTTTTAGGTACATGAATATTTTGAGCTATTATTTTAGTGACTGATATCTGGATAAAAGGAAAACCTTGACTGTAACATTGTGTTCAATATACAGTGAAACCTATATTCCACTGTACCACATTCTAATAAATTGTTGATTCAAAATTCTTCTAAAGTGAATGAGGATGGATGTTTCAAAAGTCAATTGATTTTATATGCATTCATGAAATTCTGAAACTGATCAGATGGCAAAGCTTTATACATTTTCCAAAAACCTCACTTATATTTTAATCATTTATTGAAATGGATAGAACTGTTGATTTCTGAAATACATAAATGCAGGAATACACATCTGACCAAATATCCCAATTTATTTACTGCAGGTCTGTCAATTCTACTGACAAACCTTTCCAAATCCTGAATCTGAAACATCACCACCCCTCTGAATGTAACATATTGCATTTTCCCTTTCTTAATAACTTCATCATAATTTTGACTATTTATTTCACATACCCAGTTACCGATACTTTCTTCAGTTACTTAAAGTTAAAATCTGCACCACAACCTAATAATTATACAAACTTTACAACTAAAAATGCTCAATATGTCACTCAATGAATAATGAAATTTTTCTTTTTTAAGTCCATTATTAAATTAAAACTACTGAAATGCAAAAATGAAGTTCATACTCTATATACTTAAAAAAATCTTCAACATGCATTCAAATTTCAGAAAAAATATAATTTTACCAGCAAATACTAATTAAATTTTCTTCCTGTGCACTTATACATTTTATTTATTTAAAAAAGTAAGTTTAATTTTAAAAAATTTCAACCAAAATAACTTTTTGATTCCAAAATTTAAGCTAAACTTACCTTGCAAACCCTTGTGGAAGCTCTCCTAGCCCATATAATGGATATAGATATGGACTCTTGCCATAGCGAGCCAAAGAATCACTGTACAGTTTAATTCTGTTGATAGTTTCTAAGCATGGCTTTGCAAGATAACTGGGTAAAGATACATACAAATATTAAACTACATATAACTTATAATCATATCATATCTATATTATAATTCTTTTTAATTATCTGTAATAATAAAAGAAAAAATGTGAGTACACTGCTTAATGCAAAGATGGAAAATCCTACAGCAAAATGACCAGAGTCCCCAGATTAAGTAAGACAGACCCACATTTCAATGCAGGGTACTATATAATTTAATTTTAATTTAAGCTGCCTCAGTAACTCTATCATATCAGGAAATAGAAATGGGAAATTATAGTAAAGGCTGAAATCATAAACAACTGGGTAATTTACATAATAACTATACATATTTTTGAAGAATAATTTTCTTTATGCAATCAGTTTTAATTTATAAATTTCTTTATTCAGTTTCTTTCTTCAAAACATTCCGTTTTTATTTTAAAATTTTTGGATTTAATTAAGAATTGCTTTTATTCTAAAAAAAAAAATAAATGCATTTACAATGCATAGAAAAAGCTGATAATTTTATTTCTTTAGTAATATGAACATTCAGAAAAAATATGAAATATATATGGTAAGGGCTGGTTAGAGCTGGTGTGGCAGAGTTTTTAGAATTTAGTGTCACACCGAGCAACAAAATCTAGAAATGTCAAAACTTTTAGAATTTAGAGCAAGCATTGGAAGCAGAATTAAGAAAGGCACTAGGGAGCATAATTTAGGTAACACAGAGGTTGTATGAGGTGGGATCATCATTAGGGGTAGCATATTTTTCCCAGCCAGGGCCGATTGCTTATTAGCCAATTCGTCACAGCAAGTGCATATCTTAAAATTAATTTTTAAAACAATACCACGGTTTGTCTGTAAAATCCAATGGAACTTGGAATAACAACAAAAAGAACATATATGAAATTGATGACTTTTAAAACTGAAGACACTGTTGCCAGATTTTCGTACATTCTGAAAATTTGATGATTTCTGTAAGGCATTCTCACACTAATAAGTAAATACCATAAGTTCTTTTCAAATGTTCAACATGGCTCTGCATCACATTTTCCATCAGACCAGCTACCCAGAACTTAGAACAACAAGTACTTTCCTTTTGTTCTTAAAATTACTTAGCTCTTGCAAAAAATGAATCTTGATATGGATCTTCTTCTTGTGTTACCAGTTAAAACTATATATACAGGGGCCTTCCTCACCTTTTTATATACAGCACCTTTCATACTGTTTCTTTCTTTAAATAGTTTATTTACATTTCATCAGATATCAATTTCTTGTTTCTTCTTTTAGTCCCCCACTTTATTAACCTGAGAGTAATATCCACTATAATTTTATTTACATCTTAGACCCCTAAATTTTTAATGTACCAAATATGATCTCGATTATGACATTATTTTGTTCCCTCTTTTTGCAAGACGTTTTCATGATACACCTCAAATAAGCAGCACAGCCCACCAGCGACCGAGCGGTAAAAGCCGCTGAACACTGGTAGTTCGTTCCGGGGTTCGAGTCCCGGCAAACAGGCTGGCTGCACGGGCGTTTTCGTGGTTTTCCCCATGTGTAATGTGGATACGAGCCAGTTTCCCTTAAAAAGACCTCCATGGGGCACCTCTCCCTTTCCGTGTAGTGCCTAACGGCAGAGCACGTAATAAGTAAAAAAAAGAGCAGCACAATATCCTAACTTCAGATAAAAGGATTCATATAACATGGACTAAGAAAATTTTGTACCAATTAAAAAAAAAAAGTAAAGTGATGCCTGCCCACATGAGCTTTAAGAATCCAACCAGTTATTATAAATATAAAAATCAATTCCTCTTTGAAGCAGGGATACATCTTTTCAGGAACTGAATCCTCCTCTAACCCAACTGCTAAAACACTAAAAATGGCAATATAAAAAGCATTCCTTTCTTCTCTACTTTCTGTTAAGCGAATAAGTTACCACTCATAAATATAATTTCAAAAAATCTTTCAATTTTTCACTTTTTGCCACATGATGTAACTATAACAGACTATTAAAGCATATAAAGGAAAACCGGTATACCACTAATAACCGCATTGAAGTAATTTTGATGTTGGCAAACATTTGGTTGGGAGATAATAGTGGAAGCGAGAAAAAACACTGCATGTCTTCTTTTGAGGGTAAATCCAACAGAAAGTTCTAAACCATTAATTGTCTCAAAAAGGCATGAGTGATTATATCCTTATCCTCTCTAGCTGACAAATTTTTAACTGATTATATCCTTATCCTCGCTAGTTGACAAATTTTATGGAATTTGTTAAAAATCGAGAGTTTGAATTATTTTATTTTATTAAAACATTAGTAAAATTTATTGGTACTTTTCTGTTTCGCCGGCGTAAATCTTGCCATGCAGACTTTATTGGCTACAGCATACACATAAAAAATGTTACAAATGAAGAATTTTTTTATTTTAAAGGCAGAAACATTTTAATATTGTTTAAAATTTGGTAAAAAGCCAATAAATTTTCAAAAAGACGTTAATTTAAGAATTTACTATGCTTTCATGTTTCAACATCCTGATTCGCCAATTGCGAATGGCCTTAGGGCATAAAACTGAACTAGCTGGTATAAATTCTATGTAACTATATACCAATATTGAAAGAAACAATCAATCTCATAAGAAATGGCTGGTACTTGTTTTGAAAATGAGGCAAAAATGAAAATGAGGTTACCAGAGAGGATATTCCATTTAGCATAAGTTATACCATTATTGGCGACTTTATCGCCTGCGGCGGCAAAACGGAGAAGTACCAATTTATAAGATAAACTTCTTAAATCATTTTTACAAATTCTTAAGAGCTAAAGTTTAAACGAAATCATTATCTGATTAATTCTTAGAAAATATTAAAAGCCAAAACACAGAATGTAATTCAACTTACTCGTCATCACGATACAGAGCTAATGCATGACCAGTAAAATCTGCAGTGTCTTTATCTAATCCAAATTTTTCATACAATTGAGCAGTGGTCATGGAGTTAGCATCTACATCTTTCCATGTTTTTGGATCCTTTTCACTGTACTCCTGAACATAGACTAAGAAATTTCTAAACCTCCTCTTTTCAAACATGCCCATTAAATCTAAGGAAGGGAAAAAATTGTAATAAATGTTAAACAGCAAAAAATAACAAAAGCTTACTCATTTAACCAATCTTCCTTAATATACAATTATATTTACTTCAGAAATCCCTTTAAAAAAATATAAAAATTTTTTATACTTCTGACATTTAAAAAAAAAAAATATGGTAACACACTGAATTTTCTCAGCACATCTAAAAATTTAATTTTTAAGAATCCTAACTACTTATGAACAATGAAAACAAATTACTTATAATACAATTATGTATTTTTAAAGTTTGAGAATTTAATTCTCATTCCTTAGTTTAAATGAAACTGATTCCTCCATTTTCTATCAGATTTAATATATATTTTATGTTTGTTTAGGAAGGCACTCTTGACAACCAGAAACCCTCTGAGGGTGATTAATAATGTCGAAATAAGGCTAAACACTAGTGGAAACTATATAGAAGAGATGTTGCACCAAGTGTTTTGAATGTCTCGCTTTTGAGACCACTATGACTAGATATCTACCTACTCAGTGGCTGCATATTTTTACTGATGGTTGGTTCTCAGTTTGACTGTCATTTTAAAGTTGGGGCTGGTGTGTTTTTGAATCTTCTTTACGCCCCTGCAAGAATACACTGGTACCTCCTTTGATGGTGAAGTACGAGGGCTGGAACTTTAATAGTGGCAACACAGCTGAAAAAACGCTACGCAACAAAACCAAAGAATATCGCGTATACCACACGCGAACTACATACCTACCTTACCTCTCAGCAAAAAGACTCGTCCTGCCTACGTCACGCGCATGCAGAGTGACGCGAGAAACAAATCCTTGTATTAGCTCGTGGTCTAAAGGAAGTATTGTCAGGATGTTTTCAAAACAAGAACAAGGATGTTGGATAAAAATTGAACGTGCCAGAGGTCATACAGCACAACAGTGTCATCAAGGGCTTCAAGAGGCTTGCGGGGAATCTGCATTGCCTTACAGAACCGTATCAAGATGGATGAAAGCATTCAATGAAGGACGCCAAAACATGGCAGACACGCTTCGGCCAGGTCGTCCGAGTGTCTGCGATGCAGACGTGCAAGCTGTTGCCGCACTAATGGACAGTGATCGCCACCAAACGATTCGTCAGCTGGCCAGACAAACAGGATTAGCGCATACGACTGTGCTGCACATTCTGAAGGAACGCCTGTCCATGAGAAAAATTGCTTCACGATGGGTTCCACATCAATTGACAGAAATGCAGAAATGGCTACAATACGATGATGCCCGAACCCACCTGGAGCGCTATGAGCGCGAAGGAGATGTTTTTTTATGCCGCATCATTACGCTGGATGAGACTTGGGCTCGATCGTACCAGCCAGAACTGAAACGCCAATCAAACGAAAGGCGTCATCACGGGTCACCACGACGTGCGATTTCGTCAGAACCCCAGCAATGTGAAAGTTATGGTGATTCTCGTGTAAGACTGCGATGGTGTCATCCTAACGCATACCGTTTTCCCACAGCAGACCGTCAATGTGCAGTATTACTGCTCATTTTTGGAGCACAATCTCCAACCAGCTTTGAGAAAAAAACGGCGACACTTTCTGCAGAAGACTCCTCTCATTTTGCATGACAATGCTCGGCCGCATGCAGCGCAAGCTGTGACTGATTTGTTCAAGTGCTGGGGCTGGGAAGTGCTTTACCATCCACCATACTCCCCAGATCTAAGCCCTTGTGACTATGACTTAATTATTAAGATGAAGGAACCACTTCGTATCACTCGCTTCCAAACTGTTGCTGAGATTCTTGTGGCAGTAGACCGGTCCATTCAAACTATCAACAAAACATGTGCTGCTACGGGTATTCTGCGACTTCCACATCGTTGGAAACGGGTTGTACACAATGCTGGCGACTATATTGAAGGACTGTAAAACATGGTGACATGAATCACTTTTGTATTCCTTGTAAATAAATAGTTGCCACTATTAAAGTTCCAACCCTCGTAGTAGCCATACGAATAGCCCTAAAGCAATTATTAGCTATCCATTACCAAGTTTGCAAAGGCAGTCATTTTTTTCTTATTTTTTTATTTTTATTCTTACACAGCCATTCAATCAACTAACTCTGTTGAACACCCTTTAACACCTGAAATTTCGCAAGGTCAAGAACTCTCACTTTAAAGGGTAAACAAATCATTCTCCAGTAGGTGCCTGGCCATTGTGACCTTTGGGGCAATGAACAAGTGGGCTTTCTTGCAAAATGAGGTACCAGCAAACTAAAAACATCCTAATACAGCCATTTCTTATTGGGGTATTAAACTGTTTTAAAAAAAATTATTTGCATCTTATATCTTATGAAATCTTCAGACTCGTACATCCTTAAAAAGTTGAAGAATGCTACGTTCTTCTCTTATTTCTGATAGTCCAAGGTGCAATGCAGTTGCGGCTTTCTGTCTGTCTACAGGACATGACTGCCTTGCCACCCACCTGCACAGTGTAGGCATTTCAAGTGATTCTATTTGTCCACTTTGTGATTCTAGAAAACAAATGGACAGGGACTACCTGCTCCAATGTGGGGCTCTTTATGGTCAGAGTCGAGATACTAAGAGGCAAGAATACTCTTTAGGCAATGACTTCGGTCTTTTTGTTCTTAGTTCTAATGTTTGTAAACCTCCGTTTATAAAATTTTAGTTCTTTGTAACTTTTTGCCTGGCCACTGGGGGGGGGATGTCCGTATATTTCATATCTTCATAATGTCCTTACCTTTTTATACATTTTCCTTAATTTTCTTTACATTCCAGAACAATATATAACTACAATAATTTTCATTACTCGTAAAATTCTCACCCTTTCCCAATTAAAAAATTACAAAATGAAGTTATAAAAGAAAATTAAAAACAGGAACTCTCATGCAACAAATATAATTACATTCTTCAAAAATGCTGTATTATTATGCGAAATACGACAGAAACAAGAGCTAAATTAAAAACATACAATTTTATTTTTGTAATTATTTAAAATATGTTTATGAAATGTACCAATAATTAACCACACCTATTCATTTTAACATTACCCTTAATAATGGTAATAAATAAACTCAGCTTGAAAACAAATTACATACTCGAAAGGACACATAAATGCTACTCATATAGTGGAATCCTTTTCTGATATCATAAACAAGGTGTCCTTGGTCTTGAAAAATTCACAGTTTTCAGCTTTATAAATTAGTCCAAATTACAGAACTAACTGATTTTAGTGAATACAGATGGAGTAAAGGCTCCGTATAATTTTCTAAACAATGAAGGCAAGTTTAATTTTATATCATCACCATATTTTTATTAATTAAATTTAACACCCAAAATCAATTTTTCTTTTTACTTCTTTCATGAAAATCAATTATACAGATGAATTCTCTTTCAAGACATCCAACATAAAAAGATACATACTTGATCCCAATGCTTCTTTTTCATCAGCTGGAACTTTATAGATTTTTCCTCCTTTATACACATAACTTCCTTCCACAGATTTAAATTCTAAGTACCTAGTCACTCCTGTATGTATAAGAAGTTTAACTAACTGGCCTGGAATAAAAAAGACAATTATAAAATACTTATCATAAATTATTTATAGTAATTTTATTCTATCCATTAGATGAGAGAAATATCAATTATTAATATCTGAAAAACGAAAGGTCACCGACTAGTCTCAAAAATCACCAGGTCCTCTTTGCCTCGAGTACTAAAACAAAAAGCTTGCACATTATGTTAATAACTTTTTTTTTAACAAAATTAATCACATTTGTTTTGGCACAAATCCATGATGCAAATTTTATTTCACATAAATCAATCCATTTTTTGCCCTACTTACAGAAAATGATTAAAATATTTGGCTAATCTTTGGAATATGGTAACAACTAGTTTGGCGACATTTTGCTAAGGCGATAAAGGTTACTAGCTAGGACTTTAGCAGTGTACATGGATAAAGTCAAGAGTGTGTGCAATGCCATTTTTGTGCAATTCTGGGACTTTTTTTAAGTGAAAATAGGCCAATGTGTACATGTATACCGTTTATGTGCAATTCTTAAAAATGCAGCAAGCAGTGGGCGATTCTGCACTTTCTCCCAATTTCGCACCTAATCTTTGTCACGATTAAGCACTTTGTTCCATAAAAGTTCTAGCATAAGCGTAATTTGGCTAGCAGATTGTTGGAAAAAACTGTTGAGTTAAAAAAAAAAAAAAAAAAAAAAAAAAACTATCAGGTTGCTGTAGCAGGGTTGGTCGCCAAATAATTACCAAGTTACCATAATCCGAAGATTAATCAAATATTTTATTAAATATTAATGTTATATAGTTAACTCAAAATGTGCACTGCGCAAAAAAAGGGGGTACAGTTCTATATCTCCCATTCTACTGTTCAACTTGTGTTTTACAGATCTCGAAAGCATGAAACTCTGATTAGAAATATTAAATATTTTTATGAAATCACATTGGCTGGACTCATTAAAATCATTGCCTATTTTTTACATTTTATAATCATTTTAGGTCACACATGGAAAAAACTATGAAACCTGAAACATCCTCCTTTAACACATACAGACAGCACGTTCAATTACTAAATATAAGACCTGCAACAAACTATCAGTGTTCTGCAGCATTCACAATTCAGTCTCTCTAAGAGATACTATAGTCAATCTACCCAAGTGGTTTCTGACTAAATCAGTAATCATTATTTCAAAAGCACCAACCATTTAGTTTACAAAACATGATAACCTACTTAAAATATATTACATACTGAAACCATAGTTTCAGGCTCTAAAACAAAAATATTTAAAAAAGTGTATATTGTTTCAAAACATGAAATATCTATTTAAAAAATTCATATATCTACTATAAAAAATCAACTCAGACCAGTGTTGTTCTGGTTCAATATATGATCAAAGGCTATTTCTACAAAGTATTTATTTTAAAATGGAATCCGCGAAATCGATATCCATAGCGTCTTCTGATCCAAATTTTGATAATTAAATTCAAGCTATAAAAAATACAAATCAGTTAAAAATATATTTCAAATTCTATACATGTATATCTATAAAATATTTTCTTCTTATGCAATTGAATATAGCACTTTGTAACTAAGATAGTTAAAAACGTTTTTTAATAATGTTTTTGAAACTGGAAACAACAAAATGCAATATCTAACTTCCATACTGTCATATGCTTCATCTGGAAAATCAGTTGTAAAATTTACTTTTAAAATTATTTGCATGCAGATTTCTTACTCTTTATATAAATAAGCCTAACAACATTCCACAAGAATTATGGCAAAACAAGCATTAAAAGATTATTATGATAGTTGGTTGTTTGCTTAATTATGTTCATCAGAGCTATCAAATACTCATAAACATAAGCAATGAAGAATAATTGCACATATTTGTGATAAGCAAATAAAAAGACACAAATTTATCTAGTGTTTATATGCAGTAAGAAATAATATAAGCAAAAAATGCACATAGTTCACATTCTGTAATTTTTAATCATACATTCTAAATCTCAACACACACACAAAGGGGATACAGTTCTATATCTCCCATTCTACCGGGCCAATCGACAAACTTCAAATTGTGTTTTTTTGAGTCTGGAAAGCACGACTTAGGATATATACAGTCAAAAGTCGTTAATTTGGACACCCATAATCTGGACCTCAAAGCTAAAAACTTTCTGCGCATGCGCCGCGTTGACACATGCGCATAGGCGTTTACGCGTGCGCGTAAGACCTTTACGACTGCGCATATGCGTGTGCGAAAGAGCAGAATACGTTTTCGCATGCGCGTTTAATGTATAACGGACAGCATAAGCTAAAATTATCTAATTATCTATTTCAGTTAATGTTGATGATTGCGTTGTTCCTTAATCTTCGAATTGGATCCGGCTTATTCTTTTTTGCAGACTGCAAGAGCAATTTTATAAAAGTAAACTTGAACTTTCGATTATGTCAAATAGAATTTCCGATGCTGGAGCTCCCAAAGGATCTACAAAACGAAAGTATGTTTTGATGTCCATCAAACAAAAAGTGGAATTGATGCAAAAAAATGGATAAAGACATGAAGAAGGTGACAGAGAGGTTAGTGAAAACAAAAAAATTTCGATTGACAAGTTAGTCGGTATTCTCGGCACAGCAATTACGGGACTTGAACAGCGGGACTTTGTAACTGAACAAGAAATTATGTCTGTTTATAAAATTAAAGAGAAAGTATTATCACATAAAACGAAGTAACTTAAACAACTTACATTGAAAGAAATGTTTAATAAAGTAAACAAATAAATATTAAGCTTTTTTTTTTTTTTTTTTGTAAATTTTGATACCCTTTAGATCATAATTATTCTTTATTTCATAAATTACGGTTTCATATTTTTAATTTTAGAATTTCTGCATGCCATCTTACGAGATTTAAACTGATGAGCTATAATCCGGAATCGCCGAAGTTCCGACGAGTCCGGATTAACGACTTTTGACTGTATTAGATTTATATAAAGCATTGTTCTAACATACATATTTTAACACAAAATCGTATTCTTTCAGAAATAACATACCAATTTTTTTCCATATTTTGATTCTACGACTCAAATTATGCTTAGATATTAAATTTTCTAAAATTTGGTGCGAAATTTACAGAGAAATTAAAAAATTTATCTTGTCTCAATTTTTTCCATTTGCACCATTATGCCAGAGCAGAAAAAAAAGTTCCTACCGGTTTACATTGTGCATGAGCAGGGGGAAAAAGTCATATCGTTCCTACTTTCAAATAATTTTAGTAAAGTGTCTAAACAACACTTGATATTTTATCGCTTTCAATAAATATACCAAATTTCAAAATGCACCAATATATAAATTTCCCTTATATCTTCGGAAATTTTGAATAAAAAACTAATTTTTTAGCAGGTATGCTTAGAAATACATCTACTTTAAGATGATGGTAAAAATTTTATAGTTTAAAATTTGTTTTGAATAATTTAAGAATTATTTAAAAATACAAATTTTTAAAATAAATCAAAAATGGGTGAATTTTATTTGGAATGAACCTAAATTCCGAAATATGAAAGGAAAAATCAAATAAGTTTAATAAAAAAAATGGAGAGATTAATAAACATATACCAAATTCGATTAACATTGAGGAGCTAAACATTTGAGAGCTAATTTTTTAAAAACTACTTCTGCAATTTTTACAAAACTTGGTAGTTTGGCGTAATTCGAGGCGTAGAATGGAAATATAGAAAACAATTGGTATGTTATTTCAGAAAAGATCAGATTTTGAGTCAGTATACCTATATTAAAACAATGCTATGTATAAATCTAATACATATGCTAAGTTGTGCTTTCGAGACATGAAAAACGGAAGTTGAATTTCATTAATTGGCCTAGTAGAACGGAAGATATAGAACTGTCTCCCCCTTTTTTTTGCATAGTGTACAACATACTACACTAAATTTTAACAAACTTTAAATATATATACCGGGTGGCCATAATTAAACTGACAGTGCTAACAGTGTTTTGTAGCGCGATCTATTTGCGAGAATGAAGCCACATTTTGTAGGAAGATTAAACAAGACGGGGGACGAAGGATTCCGCGGGAAAAAAAAAATTAGTTTCAAAAGTCACCGCTAGGGGAATATTTGGCACCGTGTAATAGAAAATAGAGTGTTAACAAATGCAAATTAATGCAGAATAAAATTACCTTTTATTATGGATATGACTTACAGTACGGTATGGAAAATCTTACGAAAGATTATCAATTTCTATCTGTACAAAATCAGCCGTGTACAGGAGTTACTGTACCCCGACCATGATAAGCGACTGACTTTTGCTCTCACCTTTCTTGCCAGAATGAGGTGGATGATGCTTGGCCGTGGAAAATCTTATGGGGAGGCGAGGCTCACTTTTACCAGAATGGAACTGTGAATACCCAGAAATGCCGAATTAGGGATGACAAATCACCACATGCAGTCACAGCAATTCCCTTACATTCAAAGGTAACTGTTTGGTGTGGGTTCACAGCGGAATTTATCGTAGGTCCATTCTTCTATGAGAACTTTACCCCGACAGAACCGGAAACCTGTTCTGTTACCGGAGAAATATCGTCACATGTTGAACAGCTTTGTCATTACGGCACTTCAGCAAAGACAATGCCTGGGGGAAATCATTTCCATGCACTCCACACGTTGCTGTACGAGTGCAACAGATGCTACGACAGAAATTCACAACAGAAAGAGTCATTAGCCGCTACTTTCCAACTGCATGGCCACCTCGGTCACCTGATCTTACCCCATGCGACTTCTGACTACAGGGTTACCTTAAGTCTAAGGTCTATCAAGGAGTGGTCCAGGACCTGGCTACGTTGAAGGATAACATATCACGGACTGTACGGGAGATTCCTGCAGACATGTTACTTTCTGCTGTTGTGCATACTGTGCACAGAATGTAATATGTGGTCCACAACAACAGCAGCCACATTGAACCTCATTTGAATGCAAAATAACAGGTAATTTCCGTACTGATTTGCATTTGTTAACACTCTATTTTCTAT